CGCATAAAGTAAAAATCTGGGATGTACTCACCAGATACGGAGTCCTAGTTGGCTCCGGTCAGCAATTTGAATTTATGGAAAACAGTGGAGGATCGTACTCAAAACCTCATAGGTTATGCGTCAACTTAGTGCTGATCTAAATATCACTGGACAGCTGACCAGGCTGCTTTTCATTGTTTTCGACACCGTATGTGGTACAAAACATCTTTGCAACAAGAGGCTAATGCTGAGATGAGAGAATTGTGATGCATCCAATAAGCTTGTAAAAATGGATTGAGCTGCATCGTGCATGAAACATGCGCAATGTTCTGTGCAGCTGTCCTGTGGTCAAATGATTACTATTCTTGTGTTCTACTCGTGATGTCCCAGGTTCGCAATCCTCAGTTGGGTTGATGGATTCGCACTACTGACGAAACCCGACCTGGCCCAAACATCTGTCATACGCTTCCTAGTTTTTCCGCTCATGCCTCACGCTTTAGACTGTGTACATGACGAAATTCTTTACCTATGTTTGCTTGCTCGTAGGTTCTGGATTCCTTCACTTTCAGCATACCGTTTAAGATTAATTAGTAAGAATGGAAAGAATAACTACCCAAAAGCGCATGCTCCTATTCGATCCGTTCTTATCTAACTGTTGAGAAGGAGTATTCCAATGGGTTACATGTTCCATGCTATTTCTATTTGTCATCCCCATCCCCCTTATCCGGGAAAGGAACATATTTTGTATGTATCATGCCCACTCTCGGCTGCTTTCTTCTGCTCCCCTGCTACTCTCGTGATTCGGATAAGTGAACTCTAAGAACAGGCCCACGCGCAGTTGATTGGGTCCCCGCAGAATCTACATATATCTTTCTCTCTCCGTATGTTGGTTTTACAGCTTTATTGGTCTGTTGTTCCGCTTTGTTAGAACACCGTAGCTCGCAATTGGTTCATGGGGTGGAGCGTGAGAGAAATAGTTTATCTCGTCGTTTAGAGCCGTTTATGTGCTTTTCAGCTTTTTAGTTGGTCAGGGATTGGACAGTGGTTAATCGAGTCACCCAGATACGCCATAATGAAAACCGAGTGCATCAGTTTGTGTCTCAGTTTGCGATTACACTTGGAAAGAATTGAACTACGGGTTTAACCGAGCATGCGGCTAAAAGCACAAAACTGGAGCTTATTCAAGCAAATGAAATTAAAACAAAATCTGCTGACTACCCACCCGGTAACCAATGACGATGATTAGCATTGGGGCAGCCAAATTTGGCTAAGGGAGGGGTGGGGGGGGGGGGGGGGGNGGGGGGTAGATGAGATGGTTAACTGGTGGGTGTCACTTTTGCTGGCAACTGGGACAGAGAATGATAGACCATAGGAAACCTTGTTTTGCAAGGAAAATCCGTTAACAGAATGGAAACGACATCAGGCAGTTTCTTGTTTTTCAGTTTTGTTTCCTTTTTACTGGCCCTTTTCATCTAAAGTCCGATTTGTTAGCTCGCATTTGATTGCGTCTGCTTGTGTTTTGGTTTACGCAGTCAGTCTTTTCCTTATCGTCCAAACTGAAATAATCTCGATTCGCTAAACGAGTTTTATTTCAGTTCAAAACTTTCACTTCACGAGTTCAAATTCGCCAATTTTTTCGGTCGTGAATAGAACTTAAATGTATCATTAGTTTTGTTAGAATTGCTTTAGTCGACTGGGGATTGATAGGGGTTGATGAGCTTCATGCGAACTTTCTAAGTATTCAATTGTTTGCTAAAATACTTGGCGGTTTGGATTTCCAATTCAGTTGATGAACTGTCCGATTTGACTTGAATTTCCCCTATTTAGGTCAAAAAGTTGAATGCTTGTATAGGGAACAACTTGTTACAGCAACACTTAATAAGTGAATGAAGCTAACCATACTGAATGCTGTTACTTTAGATTTCTAAAAAGTTATTCATCAGTGAATTAAAGAATTTATAGAATTATTAAGCATGCACTGTTGTGCAGCGGTTTTCATTGCTGCATTTTGGCTACTCACTTGTTTGATCAATGAGGGGGAGAGGAAATGAGGAGTTGAAGAATGAGAACAGCATCTTTTCCATTTTCTGTGTTCCTTCAGGGAAATTTTCTGTGACCAAAGCCCTTTCCTGAGGATTAACTGTACATTTGGGTTGTAAATAAAGAAAAAAGAAAAAAAGTGATTTATTGCTTTTCTGTCTATGAGATGAACTTACTGAATGCAGTAAATTAGGTCTGTCTAGGCAGTGAATAAATGCACGAGAATCGATTTTAATTACACTCAGCACTGTTATTCACTGTATCTAACCAGTAACAACGTTGATCACCAAATCCTCATTCCAGAAGCCGGGATGAGACACATATGACCGAGCACCATCGTCAGGGTTTTCATTCCCCGTTGTTAAATCATAGTTTGACTACCGCTACTACTACAGTCTCGCTCTGGAGCCTATCTGGTGATATGTTTGATACAGCATCTCCTATTCCTGCAATATATGGAGGCGACACTTCGTTGAGTGTGATCCCAGGTACCCGATACTGGTTATTAATATATCCAATCAGACCTGTGCCATGCAACAGTGACAGCCGTGCTCGGACTGCGATAGTGTTCCTTCAGTCTGTTTCCGTAAATTACCCAGAATCTGTTCTTTAAACTAATGTCTTACGTATACTGCATAAACGTGGGAGTGTAGTCTGGGCACTCAGTTCTGAGTCGGAAAAATGCCATAAGATAAAAAATTGGACATATTTTTGAGCTATCTTAAATGGTCAAAGCTAAGCAATAGATTCATCTATCCCATAGATGAATAATCAATTGTGGTAGTTGTTGAAGGGGTTGGGTCAGAGATTAGGTGGCAAAGGTCAGCAGTAAGATGGACTTGGGGTCGCATTTTCGAATATACCAGTACCAGCTATCTTTCTGATTTCTGTATGTCATCCAGACAGCTTTTCGATTTAAAGCAGTCCTCTTCTTGCAACTGGGAATGATCCAATCTCATAAGCAACCTATTAAATGAGTTAAAAAAATCATTATCCACAATATAATTAGTTGGAATGGCGAGTCATTGGTATTTTTCGAAATGATGCTTGTGTGCCCCATGGAAGCAAATAAATAAGTATGCAGTGAATTGAGTAGTTCGTCTATTTGAAGTTTATACACTTACACAGCCCGGCCAAAGGCCGGTGAGCAAGCAGAGAGTCAAGTCAGTCATTCAACAACTGGATCAAGCTTTACCAGAAAAAACAGAATGCCGTTAACCTGAACAGGCAACAAATCAATCAATGCGGACAGATCAATAATGACATCTGACTTACTGGGAAGAATTGACGTTGTAACGGACTATGTCCGCATGGAGTGTATATAGGCGTGGGCTGCAAGCTGCATCGGCCAATCGGTGAATCATGCTATGCGCGGTCAACGTTTCAGTCGATTGTAGATCACAACAGGTGTCACAATATGGAAGCAACATACATCTTGCTTTTACGGAATAATGATGCTATAAAATAGTTATTTCTTTGGAAAGATTTATTATGTGAAAAATGGACAAAATTCTGGTCTCATCCAGTGATCTGCCCTGACAACTCAGTATTACGAGTACAGACCAACCGTGGGTTCTGATAGACTCCCCCCGTCAAGAAAAACGGGATTGCCAATCATACCAATGAGGTATATGATTTACCGAATAAGATTAGAACTGGCTGGAATCAGTCAGTGATGAGTATACATTTTTGTCACCGGCTTGTGAGCAAGCATGATGCCAACGCCACAGCAATAATAACGGTAACCAGGGGTTGGAGTTTGGGATGCAGCATAGTGTGAAATGGAAGTCCAGCAGTCACAAAGGATAACAGTAAATAACAAAAATAATATATTTGTGTTTCATTGTGCACTTTTTCATATTTTTGAGTGTTATTTTAACTTTGCTTCACGAGGCACAGGGCATCAGTAATTACCGAACTTGGTTAATTGCTTGCTTCTGACTGAAATGACTCCGAAATTTCGAATCTTGGTCAATATTAGAACAGAAGCCGTGTCTGTATAGGTCGTGCAAAGGTTTGTTGTTAGTGGGGACAGATTTTCACGCTGGCTCTAAATGTAGTTTGGGATAGGGAGAGTGGAGAGGTGAGGTGAGCCCTAGGTGTCTGCGCTTAGACGAGATCTACTGTGATTGGAGTGTTGATGATAGTGGTGATGTTGATTATCAGTTTGGAGCCATGGTAAGCGGAGTTTGGACCAGTTAACTTTGTGCGCATAGTTCTGCTGCGACAAGGCGAAAGTCTATCTCTTCAGTGGTGGCTACCACTGAGGCGATAGACAGTCACCCTTTCGCATCATAATTATGCGCACAAAGGCGACTGGTTCGAATCCCAAATTGATCACCAACGTCACCACTAATACTCCAATCACTACAGATCTCAACCAAACTCAGATACATAAAGATCACCCAACCATTCCCCTCTCCTCATCCCGAAAGACCTTTGGACCCAGCGTGAAACTGTGTCCCCACAAACAACAAACTCTTATATGATTTGCGCTGGTAAGATTATGAATCATTCGAAAACAATCGTTCGTCTTCGGACTTGCGTTCTATTGTTACAATGGGTTTATTCTCTTTTTCATTTTGACTTCCTTTTATTAGGTTAAAATGATATAAATTTTAAGAATGGAGAAACGGCCAATCAAAGGGCTGCCATACAACACACCAATTGGGAAAATCTGGCGGTGGTAGTGGGATTCGAACACTCGTCCTCCGGGGTGATAATTTGGTGACGTTAACACCGGGCCACCACCGCCTAACCTACTTATTTTCCATGTGGTATTTTGCTGGTGAAGTTTTAACCGAGGAACGAATGACCGATGCAATTCTTAGAAGGGGCTTATACTAATTAATCCACTTTGCTTAATTCTTATACAGTCAGTGTTTGCTTACCATCATTCTATTTCGTTTCCTGTCGCTGTATCCATATTATCTAATTGTTTTCCACCTATCACCAAGGTTGTTCGTCGTTACCTGGGCACTATGCCTGGAGTGACCAGTTCACGTTCAGTTACTACACCGAGGACACCACCACCAGTTCCAGCTTCAGTACGGACACCAGAGGCTTTGTCTGAGTCGGAGGATAACCGTGCAAGTCCAGTTTGGTTCGAGGTGAGTTGAACTTGAATGAGATAGACAGTCGCTTCACCTGAACATCACCATTATTACCTTTTTAATTCAGTTATTTCGATGGTTTGGTTCATACATCTTTGCTCGAATTCAATCACTGAACTATTTCGTAACGGATTCAAAATAAAAGAATATCGGGATAAATCTGCTGATATCAATTCTAGTAGTTTAACATAAAGGGATGAGAATCGCACAGTAATGAGTTCTACTAATAAAAACGCTTGATGTTACCCAGGAGCAGTCACATTAGTCATACTACAAAAGTAAACAAATGCAAAGTGTAAGAAGGAATCAACGGATAAGGATAAAAATGACTTGAGGGGATTCTTACAAGGAAGTATTTNATGACGTTAACGGTCGCAGCACCAGTGTTCGAACCAGATTAAGTTCAGTTTGAACAACCATTAACCATGCACTTTCGTGCGACGGTTTTGGTTACTGTCTTTTGGCTGCCCATTGGGATGAAGAATAGGAGAAGAAAGGAAAGTTGAAAGTGGATTCGAAAGGAAAATGGAGAACCAGATTAAGTACCTTTTATGAATTAGGGTTCTTTCTTTCTCTGTGAGCTTGGCAGTTATCACGATGTTCGGTTGCGACCCCGTTTTGTGTTATCAACTAATCTTCTCCTGTGGGGCAAGTTATATGAGTCGAAAAATGAAGCATATGTGGTCGCATTAAGGAGTAACACACTAACTGGTTAAATAAGAGATTGGTAGAGACCGGAGCTATGGTAATTACGAAACGCCCGATTAGCTAATGACGGTAAACGTGCGCGATGCTTTTCGTCCCCTCTATGCAATCCAAAGACGGTTATCCGAAGAGGTCAAGTCTCAACAGCCGGAGAAATTGCCATCCTTCGTGACAACCCTTCTCTTTGTGGTCTCGAAAGTAGTGTTATGAGATACTACTCACATGTGAGTAGTAGGTAACATAGTTGGTGATTTTTCTGAACGATCAACAATTAACAAGATCACCGAGGGCAGATTGCTGGGTCTTAAAGAATAGCTATCGATTGCTACATTCATTACCCGTTGTGCGGCCAGGAAGTGCGATGATATGTTTCTGATGAGATTTCGATGTTATGTATACTAAATTACGGATGTTCCATCTGTAATCCCCAACGAACAATTACCCTCGACCAGCACCACCTTTTGGAATTATAACAGTAGTGTGTAAAAACACTGGTCCCACCGTTGTCATCTACTTATAATCTGGTTGTGTAACCTCCGTCAATAAGCTTTCATTCATTCAGCCCCTCATGCAGCCACAAACACCCACTCGAAACAACCTTCCACGCGCGTATACCGATCATCTCAATCTGTAACCTTCATTGTTTCTCAACTATGTGCCACACCTCACAATCATTTTATCTACCATGAGATGTGCTGTATTTAATCTGTCGATGAAACACGAAACGGGAGATCGGTTAAACTCAAGCACACGGAGAGCAGATGCTTTGGATGAAAAACGCGAGTATCCTCTGCCCCAGAAAAATCGAAATAACAAAAGCAGACCAACAAACAGACACTGCTTAGGGTGATGTACTATCTGTTTGGAGGATGTGATTGAACGGTAAAATTATTTCTTTCAACACAGCTCATTGTTGTCGAGAAATTAAAAATAAAAACACTCACTATTCGAACGTCTTCAGGAAAGAAAAAGAGAACATCTGTTCGCACAAAATAAGCCGCAGTGTCTCCCTGAAGCGATCAGTTTAGTTCATTCATGGGAGTACACTGATTTCCCATTATGGTGAGGCAGGTCAATGACACGTGATTGGTTTCTTTCATTGTTACGCAATGCGATCCCGAATGTCAGCCTGTTTGCTCAATATTTGATAAACATCGGGTGGGGCTGAGGGGCTAGTTAGTCTGGATCTCATCAAGGTTGTTCCTCAATCATTTCCCGAAGTGTACTATTAAACTTATGGAATATCTGTGTATATATATTTATTCGACAGACGTCTGAGATTACTATAAACCAAGCCACACAATACAACAATATTTACTAAACAACCAGTTCCGTGATTTTCTTGTGGTCGGATTGCGGCCAGATTGCCCATACCAATGCACGTGAATTGTCTTGGGGATTCGATCCCCGGAACTTGCGGCTAGCCAAAACCTTACCCAAAAGCAAGCGGGGTGATGTAAAACCCGTAAACCATTGCGGGTCGGTGTCCAGTTCATCGTATCATTAGCTGTTTAAACGGGATAAAATGTTCAAGGTGCTCAGCATGTCTCGATGATCAATCGAGCCGGAAATCATCGCCATATCCAGTAAGCCTTGGGTGGTTGTGGTTTGTAAGCCTCTTATTGGTTGGTTTAGAAAAAGCTTTACAGAATATACACGCTCAAGTAGTCAAAGTAACTCAGCTTTATGATTAATCTAGACGTTTTGTTTATAGTTGTCTTGTAGAGATTCGTCCTGACAACGTTTCAATCAACGTCTTAGTTTTGGCTGGAGGCTATCCAGGCACTGCCAACTTACAAGTGAACTGGGTCACTTGGTTCAAAGCCCCCTGTGAGCAAGCAGATTTGATCATTTTGATGCGTATATTGTTCGGCTCATGTATTGGAGTACATGGCAGTAAGATGGTTAGACAGACAGATTTGAATCAAAGTCATTTGAGGTAATTTTGGTGCTCTTTTGACTGGTAGCGAACTGCACAAGCACTATGTACCAAAATTCGATATCTTTTTCACTACAGGACAAGGAAAATCTCTAGTCAACCGGCCGGATGCAGATAGGTTCTGGGGAACTTATACAGGATTTCGGAGTAACTCATCAGACAGATCAAGATTTACAAACGTATTGCATAATGATTATGATTCGTTGGCAAACTAACCAGTTCCAACACGAACAGGATAATTTCAATCAGGTGCATTGTTCCTCCGCCCATAGGGCAAGTAATTTTCAGAGTTGCCCTTTTATTACGGCCCTATTTTGATGTCTGAAATAAGGTATCTTTGGCGTACCTTGGTGTACTGGACGTACGGCTTTAAGAAAAACTTGTTGAAAGGGATTTGTTTCTGTTTGTAGGTCGAACTGCGCAAACCCAGTTCATCTTCCGGTCTCGGTTTCAGTATCGCGGGCGGACGTGATGAAGATGATCAAATGAATATGTCTGGTATATTTATTACCCGAGTAAACCCGGATGGATTAGCTTATCAAGATGGAAGAATTTTGCCGGGTGATCAGCTTATGCAGGTTGGTTTACGGAATACATCTGTCTGCCTGCCTGCCTGTATATTTATCATGTTGTATACATGTCCTCTTTTGAGTTTTCCTCAGAGAATCAGCCAGTTTTCTTTGTTTCGATTTAACATTCGTGTGAGACAATCTAAACTCTATACTAAACGCATTTGGTCCACACCCACTCGATTTTGTTTTATTTTAATTTTTCATAAGTATAAAAATGTTACGGATAAAAGCTTGTTTCTTTGGTAAATAGAGTTGTCAATAATTCCTCAGACAAATCTAGTAAACCGCTGATAGAGAACTAATTACCCAAAAGATAACGATTGAAGCTTGACGCGTAAGTCATCAGTCGTTATAGACATCTTGTTGGAAATGAGCAATCGTCATGGAAGCATAAACTATGATTTAAACCTACATAAACGCTCGCCTTTCCATAGATATTCAACTATCAGAACAAGTGGTAATCTCTTCTTGATTTTATCGCCACAGGACCCATAAAGTCATTACACAAAGTTACCACGGTGACCACAAGATATTCA